TCTTATCTCGTGCATTTGCGCTTTTGCAGCTAAGGATGACGGTTCGGTAAAACCATCGAAACTAGCCCTGTGAAAATTTGAAACTTTATCGCTGATTTTTGTTGTTTGACTTCTAAATTAATATTTGTTTGGCGTGTTATTGTATCTTAATTACTCAAATACTTATAGACTGCTTGATATTTATTCTCCTTACATGGTTAAGTAAAATTTGGCGTACTCTGAACATCTGTCTAACCTTTTAGACTGCCGATTTGTATCTTTCACTGTCAAAGTATTAATTTCAGCAATGTAAAATGTACACAAAGATTTATTTCAGCCTTAAATAGAAGTTGTAGGACTAAAACGATTAAAAATGTTCAGAAGAAAATATTTGCAAAAATACAAAATGGGGTAAAATATAAAGTCTAACAACCTGGCTCAGCTTATTTTATGATCTGAAACTTAATTTTCAAATCAGAGACAAACTCTTCAGCTGATAACAAAAATATTAAACCTGACGATAGAAAAGAAATTTTGAACACGGAAGACATCTCCCCTAAATTTCATTATTTTTCCATTTCATATTCTCTTTATCATGTTTGGGTAAAGTTCAAGAAATTGTAGACGTGTAGAAAAGGTTTTAGAGTAAGATATTATGTTTTAATCAAAATAAACTTTGCATCTTGGTGTTTGAAAATTTAGTTTAAATTCTTTCAAAATTATTAAGACTCCAGTTCTCAACTTCTTTCATTATAAATACATGCCATTTAAATTAACAAATTTGAAACAAAGTCATCAGCTACTACTGCACATAATAAATTGTGTAAATGCGTTTCAGTAGAATGTAATCTCTTGATGTAGAAATCTTTCACTGTAAAGTAGGAAGTTCTTAGTTTGTCAAAAAATTATTTATCCTAAACCAATTATTAAACGCAGTTAGCCTTGACAAAAACTGACCTACTGGCACCCTCGGAATTTTAAATCCTCTTATACGACCAGAAAAGAAAGATCCATTTCTCTGCGATTATAAATATTTAGCCATACTGAGAAAAACTATAACATTGCTTATTCTATACGACATCCGTAACAGCCGTTTGGATATAACATCGTAAAGCTTCTCGAGTCTAGAGTCTATAAGCTACGCTTAATGCTTGCCCTAATTCTGTCTAATGTGGGACAGATAAACCAATGTCAACATTAATATCTTTCGGTACTTCTTTTGTATAGATATGATCCATAAGGAGATGTTTGAGGCAGTATTGATCGTCCATTATGTAAGGAAGGAATGGTAATAAAAACGGGTTCCTGAATAGGAAACGACACTCTGCGCGACTATTAAATTCTTTACTTTGTAAAGAAAAATAAAAATCCTTACCATGCCAGAAATTTCTGAGCCAAATAATAAACCATTTAATGAGGTAAGTGAAAATAAAACTACATCTGGGATATCCAAATGTATTATAATAAATTTATGAATATCCAGTAGATTTCTGTTAAAGGCTTTATTTATGAACGCATATATATACATATATATAGAGAGAGAGACATACACCTTCTCCATAAAGTTCTCACCTGGCTTTTATTTTCACAATCGTTGGTCATATACCTATACCTCAATCAAATCATTTACAAAAATGTTTCAAATAGCGCAAACATTTATGTTTTTAAATATTAATATAACATTCCAAATCTAACTTTTTACACATTCCTCCAGTCCTTGAACTTTTATTTAGGAAAATGTTTTACTCGTTATAAGAAATAAAACGCAGAAAATTTGACTCATTTACGAGATATTTGATAAAAAAATTTGCGCATCATATTCAGGGGCCGTATACAAACTGAAAAGCAAATTGTCAGCATTTGTTACAAATAATAAAAAAAAAAGTTTCTTAAATAATTGAGCAACTAAAATTTCTATAAAGATGGGAGCCGAGGATATCCCACCTCTCTTTCCTTACCATAGCCTCTCGAGAGGACTTGAGACTCGCTGAATCTTTACAGTACCCCCATGCCACATGCTGTCTCCAGGATTCGAGCTCGGGCACTTTGGTACGGCAGTCAGTTTCGCTAATCACTCTCGTCGTTAGGTAGTATACTTATATATATTCAAAAAGGTGATCTTATTCACAGAATCCTATAGAATTTGAGTTCAAGAAAACACTGGCGACCTTTATGGACACATAGGCAATTCTTAATATTATTTGCATTAATTAAAAATTAAAAATATTTGCTTATTAGTGAACATTTTAGCAGATTATGATTCTAATGTGACAAAATTTATGAAAGAATTTATAGCGTATTTTTGAACTTTAGGAAAAACGTTTATATTAATTGTGTGAAAGTTTTTTCGGCATGCCAAAAGTATCAAAACTGTATATAAACTAGTAAATCACTAAAGCATGCCAATGAATGGCATTTAAAAGCAAAAATACGTACAACGTGGATTCATCCTTATTTCTTTATTAACCAACCCCTCAACGCAAATGAAATTTAAAATGACGTCAAAAATCCCAAATTTTGAAATTATTTGATGTTGAAATCTCGATTGATTTTTGTCGTGCCGGAATCAGATATTTTAAATTTTATTTTTTATAATGAGTACAAGATTTCCTAAATATTAAGTATACTCACCGGAGAAAGGTGTGAAATATTAGTTTCGGATTATATACAAAATTATTTTTTTAATTTAAAAATGCGACAACATGCAATTTTCGCTCATTTATAAAATTTTTACTCCTGAAAGCGACCTGTATTTTCGCAACCATACAATGGTTGCGAAAATACAGGTCGGGTAAGAACTTATATGAACATGTATACGCACAATATGTAAAATCAAAATAACTGATATTAACTTTTATCTATGGACGCGGAGTATGTGTAAAAACAATATGTACAATCAAAATAACATATTGACTTTTATCTAAGTTTAAATTAAAATAACTGAATTAAACTTCAGAACTTAAAAGAAGATTCCAAGATATGTTTTCTATGGACCCCTTTTGATTGTTCACACACACACAAAAAAAATGCTTTCTTGGAATTAAGCATAGCAAAAGTAACTTCGTCGATGGAAAAAAAAAATAACAAATCGGATGCTGAAGTAGAAGTTATTGCTCTTTATACTGATATAACACTCAAAACCATAGAAAATAAAAATGATCGAGTTTTTAAGCTAATGGATCCTATTAATCACAAAAATATAATTAGGCGTGCACTAACAGTTTCATTCATTACGTGTTCTATGTTATTATGCGTTACACTAAAAAACAGGGTTGCCCCGCGGAGTTCTTAAGGGAAATTGGGTTGTATCCACGTTACACATCAAGGGATGAATCACGAGAAAGCGCGTTGTCACAAGTCAGCCGTTCGCTGGGTCTTCTCATAGGAAGGTTGGTGAAACACCAGGGTACCTGGGTCAGAGACACTACCCCTAATCGAACAATATAAAACTTTCGTAATATTTGCTGATAAAACTGCCGAAACTTAATGTAAGTATTATTACAATTTTTAATTAAAAAATTATTTAAAAAATATACCACATTTAACTTGAAGTGTGAAACATTTTGAAATTGATATGCATGAGACGTGAATAAGGTATCTAATTAATAAGCTGCACGAGCTGGTGACTAACATCTCTTGAAATTAATACATGGCAATAAAGTTAGAAACAAGTACGAGTCTTTCGGTGCAAGGATTACAATACATTACAGGTAAAATACAATAACATAGATTTTTAGGAGGACATTGAATAACATATTAAATAAATTAGATTGGAATTTTAAAGAGAATATATACAACGGAAGAACTTAATTCGTACAATACGAAAGGGAATGACTATCAGTGTATTTAAAGTTTAGAATAAAATTTAAAGCAAATTCAAAGTAAAATTCAAAGTAAATATATGTTTAGAATTGACGTGGGCCTTTTAGTATTACTAATATCATTAATATCCTAATTGCAAATTTTAATAGCAGGATTTTGGATACTTTTCTGGTTTTCATAAAATTGTTTTACAAGCTTGTAATAGTGGGGTTTTAACTGTTCAATTTTAAGTTCTTCATAAATTCTGTTGCTTGCTGGAACCCGAACATCGGACGAACTACCAGTTCTTAGCGAGTTTTACCTCTCATCCGCTGGTGGGTAAGTGTGCTAATAAAGAAAACATTTTTTGTGTCAATATACCTCTGTGAGCAGATTTCTTCACAACTTAAAACAATAAAAAGCAAGTGTGGAAATATGTTTGCTCCAACATGTGAAAACCAACGGGGTGCAGACATGCTGTGTATCAAAATAGGCGCAAATTTTAATGAGTGTTAATAATCAAATATCTCATTTGTAGCAAGTTAATGACTTAACGCAGGAGTCACTTTATGAGATACTTCAAATTAAATTGTTTAACAGTTAATTTTTCTTGCATTAGTTATTAGTTTATTATTATGTGATTTAATTGATTTTCTAATTCGAAATAAAATTAGCTTGAATTTAATGGATTTTCTTCTGCTTTGGTATGTTCGTCTTTTCTATTATTATTTGGAAACTCAAAATCATACAGTAAAATCACATATTTTCATAAATTGTTATTTTTTTCTCAAGTATGAAACACCTCACGCCAGCGAAGCACGGAAGAAATTTAAAGTTAGCTGTTAAGGCAAAATCGGTTGGACACCGCTGCTTTCATGCGTTTAGTGCGTAGGAATTCATAAAACAATTCATCTTAACAAGCGTAGTTTTCTCGCGTTTCGTATTTTGATAAGAACTCTAATTATTCTGTTCTGGGCTTCTTGTGATGCTATGTAGCTCATTCATCTTCGCATTTTCATTTATATATGGAGATTTTTTCTAATTTAGAAATCAAAATTACTGTCATGAAATTGTTATAATTTGGTAGACACTCGGTTGAATAAAATTGTATGCGATTAAAGAAGGATACTTTGAAATCTCTAATGGAGAATTCCCCTTAAATGTTTAAAATTATCTTAGATTTGAATTAAAATGTTAATAAAACAAAATAAATAACATTATTAAATGTGATGTTTTGATTTATTTATATATATATTATAAGGAAACAAAAAATTAACACAAGGGAAATGTTTTGCCCACATAAATTGTTTCCCTTTCAGAGAGTATGTAACAATTTACGATCTTCTTTGATAAGACCAATGGAATTTTGTTATTGCACCCTAGTGCCAAAGGGGGTAGTCCAAGCTGTCTGAAACTAGAATTTTGTCGTACATGTGATCGTGACAGATTTGCTCGATGCTTTCGACATTTGCTCTTTCTTCCAGGCTTAGAGATCAATAGTCTGTCTCCATTAGCCGACCCTGCTCTTGGGAGGAAATCGAAGACAAATTCTACAGCATCTCACACGCTGAGAGATAAAAAGAAAACAAATAAATACAAATAATCAACAACGTTCCACTGCTTTTGACCAAGAAGGCTTCAACAGTTTTCTTCTTCTTTTTTTTTTTTTTTTTTTTTTTTGTTACTCGAGTTGTTTGCTTGCTTTTTTTCAGAGTAGGTTAGTTTTCAGTTGATCCTCTTCTTATTTCTGGAACTTCTTTCTCCTGTTTCTGATCTTCTTTCCTGTATGTAGTGTGAAACGCCTAGTCAGGCGTTTAATCCATACATCCATTAAGTCTGCGAAGGATTTCTGAAAAGAAACAAGATGAAAATTAACTTTACCTGCGTTATATATACGGGAAGATCCTCGATTAGGTTCAGAGAGAACAGCTAAATAAATACATATTTTCCTAAAAATATATATATATTCATTTTTATATATCTTCTTCTATCTGAGATTGATTTACGATTTTTACAATCATAATTTAATTGTCTAACATCCAAGTTACCTCTCATGTTTATATACATCAAATGTATATTTCTGTATGCATAACTGGTAGTACTTTTGTAGAAATATATATATATATATCGATAATCACACAATGTAATAAAAAGAACTCTTGATATTTTTAGACAGTTGATTTACTTTTTATTATTGCACTAATTTCATTCCTTTTAAGATTGAAAATGTGGTAATTTTGCTTAATAACTTAAATCTGTTATTAATTGTAACAGATTATTTCTAGAAATTTTCATTTTTTAATCAGCTTATTTCTTAAATCTTCTCCAATGCAAATAAGTATTTCGTACTTTTAACTATTCAAATTGTCTCCCAGACGGTATAGTGGTTAGGGGAGCCTACTTGGATACTAAACGGCCCGAGTTCGAACACCGGATATGACATGGATGTCTGTTAAAATGTACAGTATCTGCGCGGCATGGGAGCACTCTAAATATGTGGCGTGCAGAAAGTTCTCTCATGTGCTTTGGTGGAGGGAAAGAGGGGTGCGAGACCCCCATATCTCTCCCCCTCCGGTTGCTGTCCCTCAAAATCTGGGTGGAAAAAAACAAACCTCTCTTTGGAATGGGCTGTGGCAACCATTATTCATGTACTATGAACACAACAACAACTGTTCAAATAAACTATTGAATTTTGAATTCTTTATGCTACATTTAATTAATGTTAAGCTGAAATTAGTGAAAGTTACATACAAAGCTGTATTTATTAAATATATTGATCTATGTTTTAGAAGATTTGCATTTGCTTAAGGTATGCAACATCATGTGTTTCTCTCCATGTTATTATAATATTCGATAAAATGTACGTCAGAGAACTGTATTAGAAGATAATTACCTCAGATGTTCCCCATTAAGTCAAATTTGATAATCATTATTATTTATTCAGTTTCATTAAATTTCAACGCAGTTCGATATTTAGTGAGCAGGTTAGATACACATTTTTCTATACTTGTACTATTTTTTCGATACTTAGCGAAATTGTGATACAATAAAGATATAGTAAAGACTGATATTAATTGTTCTCTATGTGTCAGATTTGATAACTATTATTACTGTTTCAGTCCCTTAAATTTCGGCACAATTAGACACTTGTCGATTCGATTCGATTCATATTTTGATAGTTAGAGAAATTGTGATACAAGAAAGATATAGTGAAAATTGATTTCATCTGGTCCCTGAATGTCAGATTTAATAACTATTATTATTGATTCAGATTTTTAATTTCGACACAGTTCGATACTTAGCGATAAGTTTCTATTCATATTTCGATAGAAAAATTTATATACGAGCAAGGTATATTGAAAATTGATTTTAGCTGTTTTCTGTATGTCAGGTTTGGCTACTGTTATTATTGTTTCAGTTCCTTAAATTTCGACACAGCTAGATACTTAGCGATGCGGTTCGATTCGTATTTCGATAGTTAGAAAACTTATGATACAAGAAAGATATAGTGAAAATTGATTTTAACTGTTCCCTGTATGTCAGATTTGGTAACTATTATTATTGATTCAGATTCTTTAATTTCGACACAGTTCGATGCATAGCGATACGATTCAATTCCAGTTTCGATACTTACAGAAATTATGATGTACAGAAGATATATAGTAGAGACTGATTTCATATGTTTCCTGCATGTCAGATTTGATAGCCATTATTACTGTTTCCGTTTCTTGAAGTTTGACTCAGTTCGATACTTAGCGATTCGATCCGATTCAAATTCCAATATTTAGAGAAATTTCGATACAAGCAGAATACAGTAAACAGTGATTTCAGGGAAGAAAATACAGAAAGATTTCGTTGCAATAAATTATAAAAAATGAAATTCAGAGTGTGAAATCCCATACATATTTTTCCTTGATATTGACCTTTTAAACAGATTAATCAGCGATAAAATTTAACGAATTAAAGAAAATACCAACTTTAGTTTGCAATGCAAAAGTAGCATAGATAAAAATACTTGCGATTAAAAGTACCTATAGAAAATAAGTCAGGTTCCATTTGAACATATTAATCATTTTAACTAATACGAACATGAATAACTTATGTTTCAGATGATTTTATATGAAAATTCAAAAATTTTAAAGAGAACTAATAAATAAAGTTACTTAATATTTTTCAAGAAGATAGCTATACATTCATTAGGCGTTTTTAAAGCAGGAGACGGGGAAAATGTGCTATGACCTCGCCGGGACGCGTAATGGCAAACCGCACATTGAGTTGATCAATGTTACCGAATTTCGCCTATTGTGCATGCTCAATATTATACCACTGGCGTGGGAGGAAATCCTGGCGACTAAGCATAAGCAACCCTACACAAGGCTGTTTGTTAGCCATGTTGGGGGGGGTATCCTTTTTTTTTTTTTACAATTGCATTACTATAGAAATCTGTTGTGTGCTTATTGATGTGCTTCTGTCTCATATTTTGGCTTATTTTTTTTTTTTTTTTTTTTTTTTTTTTTTTTTTTTTTTTTTTTTTTTTTTTTTTTTTTGTTCATAAATTTTACAATTAATATCAGCTATTTGACTTTAATTCAGCAATTTGAACTGAATTTATTCCTTAATTTGATAATATATGTACGAATGGTAAGTATGGTAAATACTCAATTGCTTTTATTCCTCAGAAGTATAATCAATAAGCAGTCAGCTAATATATCTTGTAATGTTTCCTGTTTTGTTATTACTTGTTTGTTATTACTATTTTATTAATATTATATACTCTTCTTATGCGAAAATTTGCGTAGTTTACAATCGATAGTTACATTCTAAATAATGAAGCAACTTACAGCCTAACAAGTTTTAAAACCTTGAACGGTTTACGCCCAGATAACACAGTATCAACCACACACCGCATTTATCTTTTTTTTTTTTTTTTTTTTTTTTTTTTTAATAGTTGTCGTTGCGCCGTATTCTATTCTGAGCATGTGCAGTAAGCGAAATTCATTTAACATTGATCAACTCAATGTGCGGTTTGCCATTACGCCGCCGGGACTGGAAATCCGGTCCTCCCGATTAAGCGTTGGACGTATTTTTAGTTGCACTACGAAGGCACGTGGTATGGAGGGAGAAAATACCTTCAAAAATCAACACGTTACTTTAAAAATTTAAAAAAGAAATTTTTAGGTAGTGAGGTAAAAAATGTAACTCATAATTTATACGTTAAAATTTAAAAGCAAAGAAAACTGTCACAAGATTTTATCCTCCTAATGCCATTATGGATTAAAACTCCTTGATATTAATATCAAAACGTCACTCCATGTGGATTTATACTGGTGTGACAATAAAACTATTTGGTTTATTAAGAGAGAAACCGTAATCCTTGTAGGTTTTGTAATTCATAAATTTATAGGCAGGTCTATCTAGGAATAGAAATTGATATTTTATATTACAATAAAACTTTATGAAATGTAAAAATCTGAATTATATTTTTCTTAATAATACAAAATTTATTTATTTCCTATAAGCAGCGAAGTACATTAATTTTAACTATGAAAAATCTCTTTTGACTGATTACAGATTTTGGAATTCGTGTGCGTAGTTTTATTTATAGTTAACGTGGTTCCTGAGACTAATCAGTAATGATAAATATATGTTTAAGTGAAATATTATTTAATATATTATTTAAGTGAAACACAAAAGCGAAGGTTAAATAGTTGACTGATTAAATAGTTCAATAGGAGGAAAGTAAACGCAAATAGAAATCTCATAATTAAAGAAGATGTGAAGGGCACAGCCCGACACCCTCCTGGCAGACTTCAGGTCGCCCTATCGCCTTTTCCGGCAAGCCAAAGCAAGCTAGAAACAAACAACAACAGCTCCAACAAAACAAAAGATATGAAGATAGTTCATAAAAGTAATTTCGTATTCAAGTCAATAATTTCATATTCAATGAAATCATAAGAAATGCGATCATATGCTGCTGACTACGAATTCTAATGTAACTTGATTTGCAATTTTAGATTTGTTTTGACTTAGTGGGCCTGAGATTCTCTTGTTCATATGAGATCTGGTTTTTCAAGAAAGTGGTTAGGCCCACCAGCGGCCGAGCGGTAAAGTCGCTGAACACTGGTAGTTCGGTCCGAGGTTCGAATCCCGCGAACGGGCTGGCTGCATGGGTGTTTTCGTGGTTTTCCCCATCTGTAACGTGTATACGAGCCAGTTTGCCCTAGAAAGTCCTCCTCTTAGGCAGATAGCACTAGTGTGCTTTGCCATAATTAAATACACCACACCACACCACCAAGAAAGTGGTTAAGTGATTTGGGGAAGGGGAATAATTAAAAACGACTGTACCAAGTCTTATATCTTTGGCGGAAAACTGTATCCGATCATATATATATTCACAAGATCTTGGAATTCTTTGTGAGGCTGTTTAGGAATGCTGTTGGCTCAGTTTGTTTGTTAATGCATGATAATGCTTGTCCGCATCGCGTATGTCTGTGATCAGAATAGAATGCAAGATATCACTCGAACATACTCACCACATTTAAATTCAACTGAAAATTTACCAGGTGCTTTAAACTGCCAAACTGCAGTACGCTAAGTATTCTTCCTGCGGACGCTCCAGGAGGACTTCCACAAGACTAAATTAATAGTTTGATAAATTTTATGTAACCAAGATATAGATTTGTATTTTTGTTAGACGTGACCGTACACCGTCTTAAAGAATTATTTCTTGCAAAACACAATAGTTAACATTTGATCCTGTTTCAGGTCCCCAAATTTTACTTTATATTCAATATTTTGAAATGAATCAACTGGAAAACATGGTAATATATATTAAATAATGCTTATTAAAGTTGTTTTAATAATTTTTCAATAAGTAACACTTAAGTTTAATTCCTATCATTATTTTTAAATTTTGACGAATAGTGTATATATATATATATTATACACTATATATATGTAAAATATAAAAAAAAATACGATGGCTTTGCTCTTCGCGAACACGCAACCTTTAATTAACTTTCTGCAATTCAGGATCTTTCCCCCCTCAAAACAAGAAGCGGAGTGAGCAAAGTATTAGTAGATTAGTGAAGCAGGAAGTATGAGGAAAGACATGAAGAAACATCCAGAGCATAGCTTACAAACTTTAACTATGTCCTATCATAGATCATAATCTTTCCTTACATAATTGTAAAGTTTTTGAATTATACAATTTTACAATGATTTATAAGTAAACATCTAACTAACTTTTATATGGAATAATAACAAAAATAAATAAATTATAAGCATAAAAGTCCTCAATTTTTCTTAAAATGTCCATTGAGCAGTCTTTTTCATAAAAATAGTTGGAATGAAATACTTTTTAAAAGTCTCTTGATGCCAGTAAGTCCAGCTATTTTCATCTTGTGGACTAATAAGTTCACAAATATTATGCACTTCTTCTAATAAATATGAGTCAATAATAATTTTTGAATGGAAGATATTTTAAAATTTTCTTTTCATATAAAACTTAGAAGTTATACAATTTATACCATTTATGAATAATGGATTATGTGCATTCATTCTTCTCATGGTAGGTAATACATTGGTTGTATTAACTTTCTGCAATTCAGCATCTTCCCCCTAGGACAGTACCTTCTAGAATTTGCTAGTATATTACGTAACCACTACTATAAATAACAAATGCGCGCCATTTTGCATCAGAAGCTCGCCTCTCCTCCTGTGCTATACATCTCGCTGTTGTTTGATCTATTTTTCCTTTGTTAGAAAAGGTAATGACGCATAAAGTTTAACTTTAGCCATACTTGGTTTAAACTACTATTGAATATGTGATTTAGAGAATTTCATACAAAGTAAAAGCATGATCTACGGTAAAAATTGAATTAAATCTATGGAATAAAGATGTACCAGTAAAAGCTAAATCAACTTGCCTCTTCATTTGGATTAATTAGCCTTACCACTCTGCAAAAACTATGCCTGAACACTGATGCCAAGCTTCACGACTGCTAAAATATCACATATATATATATTTGCACAGAAGAGGAAAGTAAAAATTTACCTAATGCTTTAAAGCCTATTTTATACATTTGACATATAGTATATATGACAGATTCGGTAGTAGAACGCAGCTGCTTGAATCCGTAATGAACAGCGAGAATTTTCACGTCGTAGAATGCTGAATCGTCGATCCAAAATGAATAAGAAATTTGGCAGTCAAGGTATATTTAATTCAACTTTTATTTCAGTAAACATGTTACGGCCACAATCAAGTTAGTACATTAATTGTGCCTATTTAAAAAAGTATACATTTTACATAAATTTGCAGTAAGAAATAAAGTGCAGACAGACTGCAGTCAAGCTAGGCGAAAGCGTAGAAAGCAAGTGCGTTTTATTCAGGGTGAAATCTTAATTCAGACTGAGTTAGTTTTGGTTCTTAATGTATTTTGATTGAATAGTTAATATTAATGTAAAATTAGTATTGTCTGTTTGAGTTTTAGTTCCATTTACATCATCAGAATTATGTAAACGTCATATGACATAGATTAGTCTTGAAATGACGCAGCGCAAATAGAGGTTGCTATTTTTAGAATGCAGAAGGTAAGTTTTACGTTGCTAATTTAATATTTTACAGATTTCCCCCTTCAAGCAGAAAATGGCGTAGCGATAGAGAAGCCTTTTTAAAGAAAAAGCGTTAAAGCATTAGCAATTGAAGAAAAACGCAAAACATAAAATTTTGGTCAGCAATAATTAAATAAATAACTGTATGGGTTAATTTAACAATATGAAGTTTTAAGAATAAACTAAAATTTTAGAGTTCTTTCAAATAGTTTAGCACTTTAGTCCAAAAGTCTTTTTTTTTTTTAGAGTACGCGTAATCATAATTCTTCAGTGAGGTTGTTGCTATCACGGAATATCGCAAATAAACCTTTTAGATAATCGTTACTTATAACTAAATGTAAAACATATAAATATTTATGATACTAGTTTCCATATTGATGAGTTATATTTTAACGTCATAAATATAATAGGAGTAACATTTTCAGAAATTATGGTTTCACTGTTATTACCTTTCATTTGCAATTCCTCATTTTATCAAACCGAAAGGCATCGCAATGGTTCTAAGCAAACATTTCCATCAGTACGGCTATCCTCTTGAGCTAACAAATGTGTTCTGCACTAGAGGCTCAGACTGTCTAGGGAGTTACTTGAAAAGGCCTCCGTTTCTTGCATAAGGTAACTGGCCTTTGTGGACTACACTAATACATTCCACACTAAAAAAGTATAATAATAATGATATATAAAAAATTGCATTCATGAAATGAGAGCCTTTAACACTATCTTATATGAAGAGGGCAAAAGAAACAACTGTACAGAGGTAACAACAGGCCTCTGTTTAGGAACCAGTACTCCCTCAACATACTCTTTACTTAACATACAGTCACCCGCAAATTTTAACATGCATTTACCATAGTTTCATATTACTTATCTGTATTAATTTCACTTATTTTTCATAGTCACTTCATTCTCAAAATTATTATAAAAGTCTTAAAATTAATTTAGATATTTTTAAAAATAAGTCATATATATGATAAATGACATTACAATTTAATAATCTTCCATGAAACAATTTTAATTCTTTGCTTATTTAATTCAAAAGTTATTTAAACTTGACCATAAAATTCTTAATTAATTAATTTTCATAAAACAAAAAAGAAATAATATTACATATTGAATTTTAAAATAACATTTAATTATTAATTATGTAATTAATTATTTCATAGTAATGAAAAATTTAAACATACTCTATCAGCAGAAAATATCAAATAAAATGCACCAACAGAATTAATAAATGCAAAACCATTAAATGAAAATTTCAGAATACTTGCGTTTTCATCCTTTGAATACTATGTACTATGTTTTTATCTTAAAACAATAAAATTAAATTCTAGGAATATGTACTAAGTCTTTTCATACAGAATTTAAAAACCACTGCAACACCATCAGTTTTGTTTCACTGAAAAATAAATGCACCTTGACAGAAAGTCATTTGAATAAACTTTAGGCCGTAATAAATCTCAGGAATCTGAAATATTAAAAAGATTTCCCGCAGTTCAACGTGCACGAAGTAAATGACACTTAATGACCTCAGTTAATTTTCGATGCAGAACGGAAGTATCTCTCATATGGCACTTCAAAACACTCATCATTTTACTATAAACAAACCCTGGATTAATTTTAGACGACTGGCACTAGATTGCATTTTTAATCATTCGCAGCAAATCTATGATTCGATTTTTTCCCATTTTCATATTCCTATTTAATTACGTTGTACTTATTAAATCATCGCAAATGCTGGATTAAATTTCGAAGAATGGATTTTGACTTTAAATATTTAAAATTTCCAACACACTTGTTTTGGAATGATTCATACTTGCTTGATTGTGTAGATACTTGCTGATTCCTCGTTACGCATATAGTGACGCAGGCATAGATATCTTGAAGATTTGCACATGAAGGCATTAATTAACTAATTCTCTTTCACAATCGTAGCCACAATTTCGATGATAACTCTTCGGTGAAGCAGAGGTACACATCCTACTCGACTCAGTTGTGATAGGTTCTGTAGAAGAACGCAGTTGGTTGAATCTGTAAAGAAAGAGCGAAAATTTTGATGTCGTAGAATGCTGAAATGCCGATCCAAAATGAATAAGGAATTTGGAACTCAAAATATATTTAATTCAATTTCTATATCAGTAAACATGTTGTTTGCACATTAATTGTGCCTACTTGATTAATTATTCCAAAAAGTTCTTGAATTCGTGGGATAGAAAACAACAAGTAAGAAGGGTGAAACAACCCTTTATTATTCCAATAAGGTGTAACAGAACTCCGTCTTGGAGTTGTACAATAAAGCCGACACTCGGGCTTGAACTTAAGAGCCTAAGAACTAAACTTAACTAATCTTAACTTTAAAAGATATAGTCGAAGATATCGGACTTCTAGCAGAGTTGGACCCATAACGCTAATTACTGCGAAGCTATCAAGGGCCTAAAATACGGCCGAGCGTAATAATAGCTTAAGAGAGAGTAGCCTAAAAAGGCGAAAGCGTGCTAGCCAGAATCTCTGGTTCTCTCTGATTAAGACAGCAGAACTTCGCGGTTAAATACCACTCCTCAAATTTGCATTCAAACGTGATTCTAAAACTACGTTCTGGCCGGAAGTTCTAAGTTGAAATTAAAAACCAATAGGAAATGAGCTTTAACTCAAAATTTAATTGTTAAGAAAATTAACATAATCCTTACAAAGAATACATTTTAGATAAATTTGCAGTAAGAAAGAAAGTGTAGACAGACTGCAGTCAAGCTAGGCGAAAGCGTAGAAAGTAAGTGCGTTATAAGTTCAGGGGAAAAATCTTAATTCAGTCTGATTTAGTTTTGGTTCTCAATGTATTTTAATTGAATAGTTAATACTGCTGTAAAATTACCACTATTATCTGTCTAAGTTCCATTTACATCATCAGAATTATGTAAGAGTCATGTGGATAGATTAGTCTCGAAATAACGCAATGCAAAAGAGGTTACTATTTTTAGAATACAGAAGAGAAGTTTTACGTTGCTAATTTAATACTTTACATATTCTTTATTTTTATTACACACACACACACATATATATATATATACAGAGAGAGAGAGAAAGAGAGATACAAATGGATATACACTATACAAACTATACAAACACGTATATGTTGCAAACGTATTTCAATATTTTACTCTGTAAGGATGGATGAGGATGGTATTCCATCTTACTTTTCATCAGTTGTCGTTATGAGAAAACGCATCAAACTGATGTTGTCTAATTGTCATGCTCTATAGAGTGGTCTTATGGGGACTCTGCTTCATATGAAGCCTGCGGCTAGGCAGCTAAAGATGGAGTTGTGGAGTCGTAAGTGTATTTACCAGACAACACGGAACTTTATATCATGGTCACACACAGCAGACAATTGATTTTGCCTTAACATTAACGGTGGAAAATTACTTGCAAGCTGACAGTTAGGCATCACTAGGAGAAATATATTACGCAAGTAAAACAGTTGAAATCATTTTCCTATATGCCGAACTGGAAAATCTATTCTTTCAAAGTTAGATTCAAATGAAATCATACAATAAAAATACAACCTAGTAACGTGATTGTATTACTGTTGTATTTACGCTTGAGTTATTAGTAAAACTATCATTCACTTTATTTCAATAGATAACCATAATAACTCATTTACTTGTACAGAGCTAATTATTTAATATTTTTTATGGAATTTTATGTTCATTTATTAAATTCGCCATGAAGAAAGCTGTCTTAAAATTTGCATTTCCGTTCTCCTATCTCACAGCTACGGATCATACTTTGACAAATCCTTCAGACATAAAACAGAACTGCAATAGAAATCTAAGTTCTTGTATAAAAATAAATTACTGCAATTTTTCTCATTACTTTAATTTCTGGAATATTTATTCTAAATCTTTATATTATTATACATTTACGACTCCGCAACAGTTTGACCTAATATAATTGAATATGATGTTTGCCAGTGTGAAATTGTCTCCACCAATAAAGAGGCTAGCTAAAACTATCGAGCGGTCACTAGAAAATTAGGCTCATTTAATTCTCGTCTTAGTAAAGAAATCTGAGAGTGTTTTCTGATTGCCAATGCTTACAAAATTTATGTCCTTATGCTTTTCTTTCGCAACACTGAATTAAGCTATAAAAGTACATAAATTAATTTATACAGTTCGTTCCTCTTTCATGGCGTATTCTCTCACCAGTACTGAAACGTTACTGGATTTTCTTTTCTTTTTGTATTTTCATACTGATTGTGTGTGTAATCATTTTTAAGCTTTAATAACTGTTACATACTTCATACCATCAAAATGCTCATTTACGACATGAAGCTCGAATGCCAGAATATTTCATCGTTAATTTTGAAATTTGAAAGCATTTTGTAAGATGCACAAATGCTGTTCGCATTTTAATAGAGTGAATAGGATAAACAGGCTCTTACGTGATAATGACATCGCATTGGTTATTTCAGACTTAAAAATTTCCTTGTAAGGTTTTTATTATTTTAATTAACTAGTTATTATAATTTAGATCTTTTCCTCACTTCTTACTACCGTTCCCACGCGAAAATGCCAATTAGTTCATGCCTATTTACGTTGCTAATTTATATGGTTAGACACAATACATTTTTTAGATTGTTAGACAGTGTTCCTCGTCTCTAGGCCACGTTACTAGGTTGCTAGCTGAGAAAAAATTTATAGTCTTAGAACTTGCATTATATTTTCCAGTATTGAATCTCCATGACAGTTGGATTTGTGAGCCAACTTCGCGCTAAACTGAACGGCTACTCAAATCACTTTCTTTCAATATACGTGGATACCAAATATCGAGCTTTTTAACGAGTACAAGACAACTTGTCTGATAAATTGTCGTGTGTGATTTAACTAACATTTAACTTTTTTGCAATTTCTAGCATAGTTATATGGCAATACGATTCAATTAATGTTTTAAATTTGTTATCATCAACTTCAGAAGGTCAGTAGTAAGCGCGGGTAACCGTGCGGTCAAAGGATGCCGCCAAGACGTAATAGAACAATAGATTACGGAAGAGAACAATAGATAACGCAACAGGGGGTATGCATCTGAAGTGCCGCCACCGCCATCTTGGATCACGTGACAACCGAAAGTGACGATATCAGCGCCATCTTGGATTTCTCCGAAAGGGACACATTGGAATGACATCATCAAACTTTCGTTTTGATTCTGTGGCAACGATTTTATGTTTTCAAAGTTTTTATTTTTTGTGGCAACGACACTATTTTTTATGTTTATGGCAATGAGCTCTTAACCACGTGTTTGGAATGACATCACTTTTAATTTATTATTTTTAATTATTTGACATGTGATTAATATTATTTTGTTATTTGATTAATTTTTAATACGTCATTAATTTTAACTTTTTAATTATTAACTATTTAGTACATCATTATTTTACTTATTACCTTTAATGAATTTTTGTGGAAATTAATATTATTTTCCCTGAATTTTAAAAGTAACTCCACCGCTGGGATTCGAACTCGCTATCTCTGGGATGGGAGTCTAGCGCTTTACCGCTCGGCTACCCTGTCCTCTTATCAGACTTGTTATTTGAAACTCTCTTTGTCCCTTTGAGTTTTTGCACCATTGATGACATAAGGCTGAAAGTCTGCGCATGCGCTTTGACATGAAAACCGCGTCACACATTTGTTTTTACACGACGGCTAGGATTTCTTTTGGCTTCTTAATCATTACTTTATTCATTGCTGTTTTAAATGTAAGATTTTCCCACGGTTTAATTTTTTTTATTATTAAGATATTTTTAATTGTTTTCAATTTTCATCTCATTCTTACTTTTTTTAAGTTATTAGTTAATTTATTAGTTTTTATTTTATTTTTTTTCCCTTTCCCAAACATTTTTTTTTTTTAATTTTATTTTTGTTTATTTTTTTTTTTTTTAACTTCAACAAAAGTGAATTTAAATTTTCTTTTACTTTTTATCTTGCAAAGTTTATTTTTTTTATATTTAATTTTCTTTTGGTTTTACAAAAGTAATATTTATTTTTACGAATTGAATTTTTCCTTTTCACTTTTTTTATTTTGCAAAAGTTTTTTTTTTTTTTTTTTTTTTTTTTTGTATTTTTACTTTATTTTAATTTTTTGTTTAACTTTCTTTTTGGTTTTACAAAAGTAATATTTTTATTTACGAATTGAATTTTTCTTTTCACTTTTTTATTTTGCAAAAGTTTTTTTTTTCCCAAAATTTATTCCTTTTCGTATTTTTACTTTACTTTATTTTAATTTTTTGTTTAAACTTTTTTTTTTTTTTGGTTTTACAAAAGAAATATTTATTTTTCCAAATTTAATTTTCCTTTCCGCTTTTTATTTTAAAAAAAGTTGTTACTACATTTTTAACTTAATTTTTTTTACAAAAGTAATATTTAGTTTCATAATTTTAATTTTTTTTGAGTTTTTTGTTTACACAAATGTTTTTTTGTTACATTTTTATTTTACCCTTAACTTTTTTCCCTTGTTTTAAATACAATACGATGTTACATTTCCATTTCTCCAAAAGTAAACTTACCTACATTTCTGTGTCTTTGAAATTTTAAGCTGGAATTTACATGCATATAACTTCACTAGATAATATTTTCTGTAACATTAAGCCAATATACACAATGCTCTTTCTATATAGTTTAACTGGAATACTACATTTCTTACTTTTTTTACTACTAAGTTGGAGATACTCAGAACTTTTCCTTCTAATGCATTGTACTAACTATTAATGCCTGTATTAACTTTTTTGGCCAACTATACAAAACTTTGTTGATTCCCTTTTACACGTCTTACTTTTATTCAAAGGATTCACCAAACTATGTCTGACAAATGTAATTTTTACACTTTCCATTTACACATTTACCCTTATATTTAACTTATAAAACATATTCATGCTGTATTTCTGATTCCTTTTCCCATAATAAATACAGACTTACACATGTTTCTTTATTGTAAGACTTACTAAC